CGCGTGCGACAGCCTCACCGCGTGCGACGGCGGTATCGCGATAGTTAAATATGTAAAACACGGGGCTATTTAAATTATTAAATTATTAATATATATATGAAATAATTTTATTATTAATTGTAAAAAAAGAGAAGAGAATAAACAAAAATAAATATTATTAATTCGGTAGAATAAAATAACGGGAATAATAATTATTATTAATATTGTAACGATGCACTCCGCAATGCATCGTCCCGACGATACCAGCCGCCAGGAACATTTCATATTTCGCGATATTAGAATTACCGCTGTCGACAGTAGCTATCGCCGCTCCGACCGAACGCGTCCGAAGATCGCCGAACGATCTGCGCTTCGCGCTCACCGCCGCTACGACCGAACACGAACGAATATCGCCGATCGACAATCCCCTCCGCGGGAATTACCGACCGCCGAGCGATATCGGAAAGAGCCGTAATAATACGAGCGGGAGCAATAATTAGTATAAAACGCGTAATTATTGCTCCGGGAGCTCTCTTCTATCCTAACCGCCGCTCCGTTACGAATCCCGCTCCGATCCTAGCTCCGGTGATACGACGCGAAAAGGGGGTAAAGCGTTCTTTGCCTCCGTCGAGCGTTCTCGACAGCCGTACGCCAGTATCCTAGAACTAGCGCACCGGCGAGAAAAGGGGGTGAAGTGTTCTTCGCCTCCGCCAAGCGTTCTTGGCAGTCGGTCGTTAGAATATCTGTGCCTGTTACATTCCACGAAGCGTCCCTCATTGCATAGAGGGAACGCCCACCACGTTATTCGCGCCGCGACCGTCATCCGCCGCTGGCGTATACATCGCGTACGCGTATTTGTATCGTTATACCGCCGACAGCGTCTCGCGTCCGTCTTGGGATTCAGAGATCCCCACGCGTTTTTCTTAGTACTCGCGCCGTAATAGATATTTGCTGTTTTTCTGTCCGTGTCTTTCGTTTTCATTGTATTCGTCTCGTCTGGCCGCCGCCGCCGTCTCGCCGATATATACACACCTGCGTACACTACCAGCACACGCACGCACGCACGCACGCACGCACGCACGCACGCACGCACGCACGCACGCACGCACGCACACATATAGTTATACTTGTAAATATAAACGAACACGCACACCGATACCTGTACATTACACATATCATCTAAAATAAACGTTTCTGTCTCTTGTCTTAAAATACTGTGTCGAGTTTGATTATTTGTTTCTGCATTCTCCCTTCCCGTGCGAACCTCTTTTGCGACTAGCGAAATTTGCGACGAGCTGATCCGCGCGGAAGTTAGGTTGTTTCAATATTATTATTAATTATATATAAAGTAGAAAATAATAAACAAACAATAAATAAATAAATAAATAAAATAAATAAATAAATAAATA